TTCGTTCCAAATTTATTTATTGAATTATCGTACCTAGACATTAGACCCTGTGAAATCCATTTAGTTATTTAAACTATTACCACCACGCATTAAAATAAAAAATTATTAGAGTTTTATTCCCGTGTCCATAGTTATTTCTAGGCTTCTCTAATGCTAAAAATTCAATTCCGACCTATATTTTTTTTCAAGATATTCATACAAATACATCTGACATGCTCTTTCACAGTTGAGGCTACAGATATAATAAATTCCGATAATATTACGCTGATCTTCATTTTCAACATTTGCCAATACGAGAATGTTTTTGAACATATACTAAAATGTTTTAAAGAATAATATTCAGTTGGCGTTTTGGTTCTTCATATCTATTTTTAAGAATTAATTTGACATAATAAAATTAAAATTGTAATAATGTTTTAATTTTGACGCAACACTTATTGAGTTATGTATAACCAAGTGATGGTAATAGTTAATAATAATAACTAGGTGGATTTCACAGTGTCTAACGACACTTACAGTGTACGAAAATTCAATAAATAAATAAATCTAATAAAAAATTTAGATGAATTTGGAACGAATACACTCTAGATGAATTTTTCTAGACAAAACGTCTAAATCTGGTTCGGGCTGAGGCAGTAAAGTATTGGGGGTCATAGGCTTGCAAAAAATGTAATAAAATTTTCAGGGTCGTATTTAAAAAAAAATGAAGTTGATGATGGTCCTGGAAAGACGAAACGTTACATATAAAAATTGATTATGCCATTCGAAATGATCACGAGAAAGTGTTCTTCTTTTGTCAATATTACTTCAAACAAGGCTGAAATTAAATAAAAACGGATTTCCAAAATTTCGGTTTATTTCAAATATTTCGAGAACTAATCATGTTAGCCTTGATTTTTTAAAAGCATAATGTTGGTCCCCTGATTACGCAACTTTGTCCTCATTTAAGCTACTTCGTACCTCTTACCGTTTCCGAGATCCCTGTAGTGAGAAGCGAATTTGTAACAGCCTGTATATATTCAACGAAGAATTCAAAAGTGCAATTGTACACAAAGTATTGTTTTTGAAAAAATGAAGTTATGCAACACTAAAATGAAATGAGACACCCTGTTTAATTAAAATAATTTTAAAATATACAGAATGTTATTTGTTGAAACTATTATTTGAAACACTTTCTTTGTATTATTGATGGAATAACCCTTTTTAAATGGAACACCTTGTATGTTGTAGTTTACCAAATCCCAATGGTGTTCTGTTTCAAAGTGGCTACCTCGTATACCTACCTAGTTTTCAGCATTATTAGGCTTTAGTACCTAGTTATTAACAAACAAATAATTTTTTCTTTTAACACGGAGTCAATAACATAACGTTTATGCGTATTCTTTGGAATGCGGAATCATTACATAATATAATAATTAACCTGAAGCGATAATTACTGCTATTTTTTTATTGCGTTTGTTGTTGAAAGAAAATGTCCATTATTTTTAACATTTAAAGATTACACTGGCTCGCCTTGAAATTTTTAACAGGTAGATGTGCAAGAGATAATATTAAGAACACGCTGTTATGTCATAAATCGGATAAATCATGTTCTCCTCCTAGATCGACGACTATATTATGCAATATTGGCATTTTTCAGCAAACACAGCACGAAACATATTTCTACGTTAGGCAATCCGATTTACAAGTAAGTGTATCCATTTACGAATATGTTTAGTTTTAAAATAATTAACAACGAAGTGGAACATAAAATTTTTAAAACTGTGCGCAAAATACAAGCCTTACGGACGCTGTATAGTACGTAAAGTAAAGTATAAGATTATCGCACAAGTGCATAAATGACGAAAAAATACCTTAAATTTAAATACTTTTTGCACTGTTGCGTAGATTAGATTGTTTATAATTTAATTATAATATATATATTTGGGCAGTAGAACAAATAATAACGCAACTCGTGTGCTTATCTTTTTTACGGATGAGAATTTTTTTACTTTACACAATAATTTAATTTTAATTAAAATAATTTTTTATTATCTTATTGGAGGCTGTCAAAAATAATTTTTTTTGAAAAAAATGAGGTACATTCGCCTGTTGTATATGGGGTTTTCATGAAAATTTTATATAAGTTGAAAGCAAATTCTATGAAATAAAATGTAGGAAAAATAGTTATTTATGTACCAAGGGATGACTAAAGGCATAATCGTCCTAGTATCTCCCGTGGTGCATACAACGTTTTATTTTATACTTAGATTTTATATTTATTTTAAATTTAATACTTAAATGTAAATGAGAATGAACACAGTTTTTCAATATATAAACGATGTATCCAAGATGTATCTATGACATCCGCAAATTTGTTGACTTTGATAGTTTGATGTTTGTTTCCGTGAAGACATATTGAAAAGGCAGAATGGATAATATTCCAGCAATAATTGCTGCTAGAGCCAATAAAGTCAATGAAGAATTACTGCCTAAGAAATCTAAATTACTTTATAATAAAAAATTCAAACGTTTTTTGAATTGGACAAGCAGAAATTCAGGGACATTTGTTAGTGAAACTATATTAATGGGATATTTCCAAGAACTGGTGTGGATTACCTTTTATCACCATAAAGAAATATTTATAAATTTGGATAATTTATATTTTTTGTATATCTTTTAGTCAGAATCATTCAGCCTTAACACATTGTGGACAAAGTATTCAATGTTGAAGACCACATTATTAGTCCGTAGAAAAGTAAATTTAGGAGAATATAATCGATTAGAGGCTTATTTGAAGCCAATATCGAAGGGATGTATTCCAAAAAATATAGGATATTGACAAGAGAGGATACTTTGAAATTTGTTAGAGAAGCATCCAGTCATATATATCTTTTGGGAAAGGTAATATAGGAAATAATAATCGACTATATTATTGCAGGTGCTTAATAGGTTTTTGTTATTGTAGGTTGTTCTAGTAATGTGTGTTTTTGGAGGATGAAGATGAGGCGAATTCGTAAAGCTCTCGATAGATGATATGGATGACAAAGCAATCGTTGTTCTAGTAAAAATAAACGATATAAAAACTGGAGTACCAAAATCTTTTACTATTGTGGAAGAAAATGTAATGCACGCTCTCCAATTGTATCGACAGTATATATCTTTGCGACCAAAAGAAAACAGTGTTTTTTTTTCTGACATATTGGATTGGTCGATGTACTGCGTTCGATCTCGTTTAATAGTAGGAGTCGAAAGAACTAGTGATGACAATTTTTATGAATTGATTTAGGTAGTTTTTTTTGGTGTTACTTTTGAAGGTTCCTTCTCAATTTGTACTTTTGTTACTAAAGACAGTTGTAAATAATTTTTGTTACTAAAGTAAATTATTGTTACACTTATATCAAATATTTGGGTTAAGGAACTTCTACAAGACACATTTACTATTCTACCCTTGCAGAAAAGAGGGTACAAAATATGGTCAAAATGCGGGCTATAATATTTAGGTCCGCTTATTTCACCCTAGAATGATATGACGTTGTTTTCCTATTTCGTTTCCTGGTAATAAAAAAGCTATATCGCCTAAGTGAAAAATAAATTCATTAATTCCTTACTTTCTATATAAATCTATTCGTAATATATCTGTATGTATCAATTTTCATGAACACTCCATAAATAGTTTAAGTTAAATTTATTTTCTTTTTATACAAAGTACCTATATGTATATAATATATTAAAATGTTGTGAACTGCATTTTACATTGTTGGGTCAAAAAAATTACATTCAGTTGTAGAATATAGAAAAAGTCTACTTTATCGTGCTTATCTTTGAGATCAGTTCCCATTTGTGCATATTTAGGCCAGAAAATATAGAGTTGGACGCTACTTTTTGTTTCGGCAAGCTAAATTTATCACTATAAATGCTAAATATTATGTACAATAACATATTAGTGTCCACAGTCATAAAAATGGGGGGAAGATTGTTTACAGTTTAATTGTATAATTTTTACGTAAATTCACGTTTTTCGCTTATGATTTTTTCCATTCATTTCCATTAGAAAACCCGAGTACTCTCCCAGATATAAATATGTTATTTGTGGAAGTATTAAGTGGATTGCCGGTTATGACAGTATTTTTTTTGCCGCTACCAACCTAATTTGTTTAACAATAGGCCGTCAACTTTGACAGTCTGTAACTCCGTTATATTTTAACGAATCTTGACGATTTGCTTTACCTTAAAGCTCTTTTCATAAGCTTTCCGAATATGTAATAATATATAAACTATATCACGCACGTGCGTCGTATATTTCGTTTTGCAACTAAGGCTAAAAATAAAAAAAATTTCCAGGTTGCTTTGAAATTAAAAAAATATATATAGATTTCAACGTATTATTATGAAATCTACCATGAAAAAAATCAGTGCGATTGTGAAAGATCCTCGGGATCGTTCAGACTAATAATAAGTTAATTTTTTTATAAGGCCTTAACTTGTAAACTATTCAACTTACAGATTCCAGATTTCGTGTGAGTTATTAGACAGTGGATACGGAATGACAGGATACGATGTGGTAATAATAACGCAGTTTATAAATGTTTAATTCAAAAGTCATAAATAAATTTCTTCTGTTTGTAACTTTTGATCTAATCAATATTTTTTGGCGCTCGGCTAGTTTTGTAGGTCTTTTGAAGACAAAAAAAAGCACTTTACTGTTTTCTCATGGAAATTAACGGAAAAAAGTTATAAGCGAAAAACTTGAATTTACGTAAAAATTATACAATTAACCAGCATGTAAACCCCCCATTTTTATAACTGTGGAAACTAATAAGTATGTTATTGTACATAATATTTAGCATCTATAGTGGTAAATTCAGCTTGCCGAAACAAAAAGTCGAGAAATGTTTTCATTGATTTTGAGTGATTTGTTTGAGGTTAGGGAAAAATCCTGACGTGATCCATGTTAAAAAGTACATGACAATAAAATTTTTTGTGTGGCTTTGTAGTCAAAGAATAGAAACACTGCTTTTTGAATTGTTTATTTTATATACAAAAATACAAGTTAAAACAGATACTAATGTACGACTAAATGTAATTTCTACTTTATTAAATAAAAAAAGACAGTTTACTTGGTGTTTACAATGCCGCTCTACCACTTTTGTTCATCTTTAGTAGTTTTCAAATTCATTAATAATGGCACTTTCAAATATTCAGAATTCATTAAAAATGCATATCTAAGTTACTATTAGACACAGTTAAATGATACCTTAAAATTAGATCAATGTATAATGCCTTAATTAAAACAAAAACAACTATTATTTACAAATATATAATATAATGTGTTATCTTTAAGAATATTTGGTAAATATATGTATAATAGTAATTTCCTCTACCTCTAGAATAAACCAAAATATATAATACAATATTATTTGAGCAAATTTAGAAAAAATATATATTTTCACAAACACAATATTTACAATTTTTTTTTTAATTTCTACTTCACATCAAGGTGTGAATGTCTTGTGTTAAATAATTATTACAACTACCATACAACAGCATATAAATAGAAAGTCCTCTTTGCTCAGTTCTATTAAAACAATATTTCTTAAAATAGAACACGTTAAGAATTTGAAATAAATAATATCCATATTGTATTTCAATTATGGATTAAGTTATTAACATAAAAAGTCAGTTGCTACAAAAATCTAGACCTATAACATTTCCTTATCAATTTCTTATCAACAAATCAGTGGGATTACGACAAATAATATGTCTATATTTATAATATAGTAAGATTAACTACATTTTTTTGAATAGATAACGTATATATTGGACGATAGTGTACAAACTTGTTTCTCTAAATCACTTGTGTGCGGGAAATGGGTGTGTGCACACGCCCCTAGACGTCGACCAAATGCTATGGTTTGGAAGAACACACTTCACGCTAATTGTGTGCTGGAAATAAGAAATGTATGTTAGAAAGGGGGAAAGATGGAAATTATCAAAAACCAAAAAGCAGTTATAGTCAAAAGAATTTGATTTGAGAAACTATTTAAGCGTGAGATTTTACATCCACCTGATTAACACTAACAGCTAAGATTAACATTTTAATAAAAAATGTATGTAGTTTACATATAGGGTGGACTCAAAATAGGCAGAATGGTTTGGTTTGGCCTCAAAGTCCGTAAAAATTTTTTGAATTTTGTAAATAACTCGAATAGGTATTATTCGATTTTGATTATTTTTGGGGTGGGGACTTTTGCTTTCAATCTATCCATTTTGGCGTTATACAGAGTGTTTTTAAAACTTCTACAAAATTGGTATGGTGTTAATATCCGTTCATAACGTTTTCCTCTTTCGGGCAATAATGACAAAACTAAAGTATTGTATGAATGGCAAAATAATGTATACATTTAGAAAATATTTTTTTGTACCCAAACCGCTCATTTAATCAACATTTTATGATGCCCAGAAACTTTCAAATGGTATCACCTATCAAATAAAAAATAGATGTCATAATTGACCGAAAGTTATGAACGGATATTATCACCATACATCAATTTTGTAGGAGTTGTGAGTTTTAAAAAACACTCTGTATAACACCAAAATTTGTAGATTGGAAGCAAAAGTCTGCACCCCAAAAATAATCAAAACCGATTAACACATATTCGAAGCCATCTAGCGGCGAAACGAAGCGATTTTAGATATAGATCCCAAATCTGCCTATTTTGAGTCAACGAATCTATGGTCTTCTGTTGTACACGTTATTCAGGGTCACCCTGTAGATATTTGATTCGAAATTCACAATAGAAACAATAGAAATCCACAGACAAATCACCGTAGACGACCTACTACGTAGATCGGAGTCACAAATTCTCTAAGAACCTGCCGTAGTTTGCATCACTAGGAAAAGATGGATAAGCAACCGTCTTATCCTTGTACACCATTTACATTTGTGTCAGCAATAATTAGTAACCTATTAGAGTCAGAACATGCCGAATATCAACAATTTTGCAGGTTTTGAACTACTACCTATATGTATAGTCTGTCAGATTGTGTCAGATCGGGACAGATACCCTTTCAGACCTGAAACCCCAAACCGGTCTGCTTTCCAACCTTACGCACCCCCCACTTCCCATCGCCACCTACAAAGCAGCACCCAAACCAACCACGTAAGACCGTGCACCACGTTCGAGAACCGTGTAGCAGCGCTTCTCCTAGAACGAGTTCCAATCTGTCATCTAGCTCAAGCGTCCGTTGTGGTTGGCATGAAGGGGGAGATGCCCGAGTATTCTGGGAATCCCCTTGGAGGCGATCAGGAGATTAACCTCCTCGTAACGCATGCAAAGCTGGAGCCCCCAGAAACCATCGCTTAATCCGGTCCCATTAAGGGGTAATGTTGATAGGCCAATTCAAGCGAGCAATCAAAATTCACGATATGGCACCCAACGTGAGGTATGACGTCAGATGACAATATCTACTCTCGATTAAATGATAAAGGTGTTTTATTTTGCATCACTTTTCGACAAAACGCTTCTTATATTCATGAGTGTGAATAAAAATGAATGTTATTTTAGGTAAAATTTAACACTCCTTACTATTTTTTCTGTATAATATTTAGCAACAGATGGTTAAAAATGATTTTAGTATTGCAGTGAAACTAAAATTAAAACTAATTACTAATTTGACGTAAATAAGAAACTCAATGTAAAAGTATATGGTAGGTAACTATTTAAACTAAATTTGTAAAAAGTATTTATTTATTTATGGATCTAATTTCTACAGAGAAAATATTAAGTAATTAAACTAATAATTCCTACCTCAACAATAAAGTTATAGACACCTTTGATTTCAAAGGAAGAGAAACTTTGAAGCAATTTCTTTACGAAATTATATCCACTTCATATATGTATATAACAGAAAATTGAGTCTTGAATTTTTACACTGAAATAACACTCATAGTACTTGTCTACTCTCATGCGTGTAATAATGAAGCATCTTGCCCAAAAGTATGTAGTTACAAACTGTAACATTTGTTCAAGATAACTTTGTCTCCAGAGAAATTATCACATCTAACGGAATTTAAAAAACGAGTTGTTCTGCGTACAAACATAAATTTTGATCATTTGGTACATTTCCACGTGACAGAATATCGTCTGTATTCCTTTCACTTAATCGAGCAAAAAAAACGCATGTAACAGCTCACCTAAGTTTTTCTCTATTTTTTTACAGGCTACATTTCAGTCAGAGTTTGCCCAACTGTATTAAGTACTAGAAATTAAAATGTTTTCACAAGAGGATAGAATCAAAGATGTTCAGCTTAATTATTTTGCAATAAACCCAGCTACCGTTAGATCTTTCTTTACTGAAATAAAACAGACGTTTTTACGTTTATAAGTGTTGTTAGTTAATTTATCATCCATTGTCGAAACTGTGCTAATACAGTGAGCAAATTATATAATAGTCGAAGATGTTGTCTTTGACACATGGTGCGTAGATCCGCAACAAGGCGTTCCAGTTGTGTATTAAGTCTTCCTTCAGCGATTTATTGTTTGAAAACTTCCTTTACAAATTGTTTCTTGATGTTTACCAGATATGATCCAAAAAACACTATTTGCAGACACTGTGTGTCATAAAGAATAGCGTTGTGAACTGTATGTTACTTAAAGGCGTACCGCAAGAGTAAGCAAATTATTTAAAAAGGATAGTTTTATTTAATAATTTTACAATTAAATATTGTAATCTTTAAAGTAACACCCTTGTGAAACAATATAGCGCTCGTAAAGGGTGTTCTATTATTCGTAAAAGTACTGAAAGTCGTTCTTTATAATGTTGTGAAGTGAATTTTAAGAGTGGCTTTAAAATGAGTCCTCTTGATGTGGAATTTTAGCTAATGCAAGAAGCAATTAGTAGAGAGCACTATACTAAAATTGTCGAACACAATTTTTGTTATTACAGGTGTAAGTGTTTTTATCAGTGAGACTGCTGCAGCGTTCAACAGTATTTTTTTTTTGGAATTTGCTCAAGAAAGTTGAAAATTTATGCAAATCATTAGGAAAATTGAATCAACTCCATGCAAATACGTTAAACCTGTTGCTAATTATTCCACAGGAATAGTTTACATAATTTAAAAAAAATATCGATTACACAGCCACACACAAACAAAAAGTCCAAACCCAAGGGAACCACATATCCCAAGGTATTCGATGCGCTAAACACGATTCTGTAGTCAGGACAAATTTCAGAGAAAAGTGAAATTTCTGAGTCCAAATATGGGTCAAAACTGTTTTTTTTTTCTAGATTTTGTCTAAATATATCATTCTCATAGTATTTTGAGGAGCAGAACACGATGCCATTAGTAAAATTTGACCTCGATATTTTTCACAAAATCCAAATATAGATCAAAACTGATTTTTTCCAAAATTTTGTCTAAATATATAATTTTTGTAGTATTTTGACCAGGTTTCAGCTAAATAGTTGATTTTCTGAGAAATATCGAGGTAATGGGTAAATTTTACTAAAAGCATCGTACTCAACGCCTCAAAATACTACGAAACCGATATATTTGGACACAATTTAGGAAAGAATCAGTTTTGACCCATATTTGGGCATTTTCATCAAAGTATTTCACTTTTCTTCCAAATTTGTTGTGAAGTCATAAATTTTGACTACAGAATCGTGTTTAACACATCGAATTCCTTCGGAAATAGGTGGCTCTCTTGAGTTTGGTCTATTTTTTGTGTGGCTGTTATAGACTGTAAGGGATTCGATGACACCGCTTTTTTTATCAAAGAATGTAACGGACAGAACTCATAAATCCTTCGTTTGAGAAAAGGTCACTTCCAGAGACGTTCAAACAATCATTGGATGTCTATCTAATCTCATTGGTACACATTTCATATTCTTAAATTGAACAGAAAAATAAAACTGTACTGTAATCCATTCGACATGTTTTAAAATGAAGTTATTGTAACGTCAAACATGTCTAACATAATGTCACAAACATAGTGAATTGTGGTGAACAATTTGTTAGGTCATCTGTTATTTGATGAAAAAATATGTAACCACTTTTTTTTTAATCTTTGAAAAATTAAATTGCCTGGCATATTGGCATATTTCCATTTGGAGATTAGTTTTGGAGAAAAATGCTATTCTATTAAGAATAATACAATAACATATTTTATAAATGAAGACATTACTCAAAAGCTTTTTTGTTAAAAATTAGCAAATGGCGAGACATTTGGGCACAACTCCACTACCATTTCCAACAGACTAATACAGGGATGACCAGAAGTACGGAATAAAATTCATATCTTTTGAATGAGTTAATTTTTTTTAAAACGGCGAAACACGTTAACTGATTTTGATTTTTTCCCATCTTTCGGTTATATAATAATTAATTTTTCTGCAACCCCCTAACCCCCAGCTACCCCTACTTTTTTTTCAAATGGAAACATAAGGCATGAGGGGGCTCGTTGAAAAGCTTATAGAAAACCGAATCCAGCCATACCAAATAAACAAGTTTTATTTTTTCAATAGCAAGGTTTTTAGGGTTGTATAAAACACCTACTTAACAAGTGAAATAAAATTTAATTATCTTCAGTGTTATCCTCCATGAATTTGCACAGAATAAAATAAAGAATTTGAAACTGTACCTATCACTGCTAACGCAAAAAAGATATATTTTTTATGTTGCGTTTTTTTGGCACCACTTACTTGCCAGGCTTTCTGGTTAATTTTTCGCTTTAGTTGTAAATTGGAGTTCGAAACGTTACTATTGTGTCAAAATCAAGTTATTTACTGAATTGCAATGGTATTGTCGGAAAGGCAACGCATCGAAATCTTGATATTGCTTGGATGTGGAGACAAAATAAGAAGTCAGGCTGAAGTGCGCGATTTATTTAATGCGAAATATCCCGAAAACCAAATCTCGCAAGGGACAGTTAGTAAAATATTTCACAAATTTGAGGAACACGGTACAGTACAGACTTTGCCCAAAACTGGACGGGCACGTGCTTTGAATGAAGAAAAGAAATTAGACATTGCATTAGAACTTGTTGAAAATCCTCATACTTCAACTGTTTCATTGGCCCGCAATCACGATGCTTCTCGAACTGCAATTCGAATGTTTCTGAAACAAGAGAAATACCACCCCTATAAGGTATGTCTTGTCCAAGAGCTTTTGGAAGACGATTATGATAGGCGATTACAATTTTGTGAGGAAATGATGAGACGGTGTGACGACAATAATGGTTTTCAACGAGACGTACTTTTTTCGGATGAAGCTACGTTTTATTTAAATGGAGTGGTTAACAGGCACAACTATCGCTTTTGGTCCCAGGAAAATCCACACTGGACATGCGAATCGCATACGCAGCATCCACAAAAAGTTAATGTATGGGCAGGTATCATCAACAACAGAATCTTGGGCCCATTCTTTTTTGAAGAAAATCTTACTGCCGCACGCTACCTGGATTTCCTAACATTTGACCTGATACCTGCTCTAGCTGTGATTTTCCCTCATGAAATTGATCCAGATATACCGAATGAAAGAATTTGGTTCCAACAAGATGGCGCTCCCCCACATTTTGGTATTGATGTTCGAAGATACTTAGATGAAATGTTTCCAAATCGCTGGATTGGTAGACGGGGTACAGTTGAATGGCCGCCAAGATCCCCCGACTTAACACCCCTGGATTATTTTCTTTGGGGATATTTGAAAGAAAGAGTCTACCAGGACAGACCGGATAATATTGAGAATTTAAAGAACAAGATTAGGGCGGAGATGCATAATTTACCAGCTGAAGTCATTCAGAATGCTGTGGACAGCTTTTACTATCGTCTTGGAGAATGCCAAATAGTGAATGGAGGACATTTTCAGCATTTGCGACATTGAGTTTATTTTTGTAAATTATCTAGTTGTTTCAATTTCTAAATGAAAAAAAACTTGTTATTGAAAAAATAAAACTTGTTTATTTGGTATGGCTGGATTCGGTTTTCTATAAGCTTTTCAACGAGCCCCCTCATGCCTTATGTTTCCATTTGAAAAAAAAGTAGGGGTAGCTGGGGGTTAGGGGGTTGAAGAAAAATTAATTATTATATAACCGAAAGATGGGAAAAAATCAAAATCAGTTAACGTGTTTCGGCGTTTTAAAAAAAATTAACTCATTCAAAAGATATGAATTTTATTCCGTACTTCTGACCATCCCTGTATATTTCCAACGAAGTAAGCAATTGCACGCAGCCATGAAATGATCACGAACATAGACAGGGACGCATTTAGGAAAACAGAAATATCTCACGTAGCATAAAACTCAAAAATACAGGGTGCTTCTGAAATAACTGCGGTCCTTCAAAAAGGTAATAAACAATGTGAAAATAAACAATATTTATTAAGAAACTTCTGGTCTAAAATATAAATAAACTGTCAAATAAAGAAACAGAAAATTTTGAAACTGATCCTGTTGTGTGGAGTACACGTAGCAATTTCAAAGATGTCTTCTGGACATCGAAATATTTACTTTAAAACACTCGTTAGAGGCTTTCGTATAGAAAATGTCGAAACGCCGCCGCTATGACTGATTTAGATTATTGTGCTGTTTGCTGCTAAAACAAAGATAACATTTTACATAGGTACGGTTGAAGATCATTTGCAGTCAAAGTCCGACACGTTGTAAACGATAAGAGTGCAGTAATTGCTCCTGTAATACACGCTGCAAGGAAATATTGGAAACACCCATTTCACGTGCAACATTGTGGGTACTGCGGTTCGGGCATTTCTCGGCAATGTCTTCTTTCATATTTAAGACACGTTACATGACCTTCATACTTTGGGTACATTCCACCGATAACATGCAGTCTTTAAATAGCGTTTTGTACTGTTTTGGAATTCGGTTGTTGTAATTAAGGGTAACGATTCGCATACAAGTAACAAGTTATATTTAAAACATATTTACATTCTCCGTACATTAATGCCATATCCCCTAATATTTGACTTGAATAAGATATTTGCACGGTAAACAGTTGATTACATGAACGGTCGGCTTAAGTTTCGCGTAATAATCCTTGACAAATTTTCTACGCACGCACCTGTCATAATGAATACATTTTATATTACAGTAAAACATACTTCTTAATGGACAGATTATCCGTTCGAAGGTTGAGAAAAAGAAAACACTCATTTGGAAAGGAGTCATTTTGGATATTATGAACTTATTTTCATAAAATAATTTTAAAAAATACTTTAGACTACTTATGACGTATTTCCCAACAATTTGTACCTTATCGTCGCAACCCTCTTCCATTCATCTGTGGTGCTGTTACTATGACCGGACCTGGTGGTATTCCTCGTGCCTCGTACATTCCTCGGGGTACCTCAGACCTTTCGAGTTCGTCTCCAGAGAGGTCCAGGTCCTGGACCATTTGCATTATTTCTCGTTCCTTTTTTATATCTTCCCTGTCCTCCACCTAAAATGAAAATTCAAATATATAAATGAACAAATTTTAAATATTGCGGAAATTCCCAGTAAAAGTACAAGGTAGATTTCAATAAGTGTCTAGAACGCCTCAATCAATACGATTTGACATATTACACAGGTCGTAAATGTGTCTTTACCATGTTCAGTGTGTCAAAGCATTAGTGCCAGTGGATTTATCCATTCCAGTTTTGATTTTGTGACAACACACATGTCTAGGAACTTGAAAATGATCATGCGATTCAACGGAATAATTTTCGGCACCGTCTTTCTTTAAATTTTTGATTAGAAATTGTCCACAATCACTTAATTCACCCTTCACGTTGCCAAATCGAATGTATAGTTTCCAGTATCTCGAATTTCTTCGAAATGATCTGTCTGGAGTTCTTGAAAATGTTCACATAGCTGTTCGATAGCGAATGTGGTTCTTGTACAATAATGTACCCCTCATTTTCGGCAAAATATTCGAGATTATCTTAATGAAATTCAAGACGATGGATTAAACAAGGAGGATCGTTAGCATGGCTACCGCAGTCTTCTGACCTAAACCTACTCGAATTTTTATGGGGACATTTAAAAAATAAAGTATATTGTATTGAAGTGGAAACTATTGATGACAAACTTGAAGATATTACATCTGCTGCCAATAATTTACGACTGCAAAACCGACAGGAAAAAATAATATTTGATTGGTTTGTTAAAACTGGATAAGACGAAAACTATTTTATATGTATGTCGTGTTGAGTGACTTGGCCGGTTATAGTTGTACCATATTCCAGTAGCATGTAGATATTTTTTTTAACAATTTTCGAAATATTCTTGACTTTTTTTCACACTACAGTATAGTTCTTGGATTTATTGTAGATCCTATATTTTTTTTATTGTGGATCACTGCATTATGATTTTAGTTAAAACTGATTCGATTAATTGATCAATTTTGAAGGCAATGGTACATTTAAGGCAGCTGCCTCGATTTTTTAGATAAATTTCAACACGACTCAAAATTTGATTTTAACATGTGTTTTTGTATACGTCATGTAATAAATGAAATTACGTCTAGGAAAAGCAGAAGATTAATTGCTCATCAGACCATCTACTTTATCTAAAAAAAGAACTTTTAAAATGGATACAACGGTAAATCGCCAGAGGAAATAAGTTGAATCATATCGCTTTGCTTAAGGAATAAAAAATTAATGAATCCAGAGATTGTAAACATTTTCTCACAATGTAACAATTTGTGAATTTTTATTTTTTTTAGTTGGTTCACTATGGCCTGCACGTGATATGTTTCAAAAGTATTAATATGTGGTGGACCGGACAAAATCTGCTTATTAGGTAGTTGATAAACATCGGATAATAATCACCGAATGAAGTTCACAGGTCCTCGTAATTGATCTGACAGATTTGATTCTAAATTAGACTTATTTTTTTTTCTTTAAATAATTCGTTAGGCTACCCAATTTTGCTGACATTTCATTTAAACTAGAAGTTACTTCTAGAAGTTACTTACGTCATGGCCATTGGGTATTGGAGTTGCAAACTTCAAGTTCGCCAGACTTCCATAACTCCTACTTCTATGCTCCTGTCTTATCGAATAAGAAAACGCTCTTTCGTTTAAGTGCCCCTTTTTCCGATATATCCCAGTATTAAATGGTGACTCGTCAGACCCCAAATTGGGATCGTCGAGACCGTTCATACTCTGCGCTAGCTTCTTGTTCAATTTCGATTTCTCCACGGACTTTTCCCTGCTTTTCCTCTGCTTTCCTTGGGACTCCATGGTAGCATAGTGCTGCATCAAGTATGCTTCGTGGGGGAAATTTACCGGTTGGTAACTGGCCACAGGACTCAGAGCTCGATTGCTGGGCATGTAGATGGGTTCCTCCACGTGCTGCTTTTGTTTCTTCTTGGTCTTCTGCATGGTTGCCGTGGGGATGATGACTGGGGCCACAGGGACCATGGGCGGCGGTATGGGTCGCGCTGGAATCAGGACTTTTCCTCGAGGTCTATGAGAAAAGGTGTTCCCTAGAAGGGAGAGAAATTGAAGATAAATTATTGGGGGTTTTGCTAGTTTTTATCAGTTGATAGAAGTTATAATCTTATGTATAATTTTCTTCACGAATAAATGCATACACTTTAAAAGAGCAACCTTCTGTGCAATTTCTCTTGGGTATGGTAAATATAAGGCTTGTTTTGGTTCTGTCAGCGGACAATCCTAGAATAGTTCAGAATAGTTACCCAACTGTATGTCTTGCCTTAGATGTTCTTATGAATGGAATGGTCAACTAATTTGAACCATCCTAGAATCGTTCTCTGTCGGAACTAAAACAGACCTATAGTTACTTAATGAAAATTTTATATTTAAATATATGAATAAATGTCAGTACGCATCTGAAACTTGGGGCAAGATGAATTTGGTCAATCCGAAGACAGCACATCTTTGTGAGGCTTTTCACTTCCCCTTGAAACCTTGGTTTTATAGGTCTGCNGTGGCAATTCGAACACTTAATTTATGTAGAAAACTTAATTAATTGTATTTGCTTGACATATGAATTGTTATTTTTTTAAGGTTTTCTAACATTCAATCGTCATTTACTCGAAAACATTCCTATGTAAGATGGCAACATTTCAATACTGTCGGATCGACAATGAAACGACCTTTCAGAATCAAGAAAAAAATAGGGGGTTGCTATTTCAAAAAATTGGCGATGACGTCATTATTTGAAAACAAATGACGGTTGAAAATCGCCTTTTATGCTAAAATATGTATTTTTTAAATTAAAAATCGACCTGTTCGAGGATTTTTCCCACAAAGAAATTGTTTCGTTTTTACTGAATTTTTTCCATACTTTAGGCGCGTATTGTATAATATATTTAAATATATGAATAAATGGCAATACGCATCTTAAACTTGGGGGCAAGATGAATTTGGTCAAGCCGAAGACAGCACATCCTTGTGAAGCATTTCACATAACCCTTGAAACCTTGGTTTTATAGGTCTGCCGTCAACTCCTTTTATGATTCCTTTGAGGACTACTTTGTGAAGGGTACTTTTGGACGAGATAGTGTAAACATTGTCGCATTACTGCCTTAATAACTCAGCTAGCGATGCTATATGAGAGTTCGGGCCTGTGCAAGCCTGGATATGAGCCTGCTCTAACTAAGCCACTAGCCTTCTCGTTGATCTGATGCTGCTCATGCTCTAATAATAAAGCTAGGATAATTTCCAAGGTAAAAGTTTTCAATTTCTTCGAAAAAATTGTTTTAAATAAATCAAAGACGGTTATGATTGATTCATAAAACTCAATAAACTAAAACCTACACTTAGTAGCTATAATTCAATTTTTAACAACACGGATATGGACAAAAAACTTTTTTATTGAAATCTGTAACGTTTGTGTTAAAACTTTATAAGTTTCTAGCTATTTCGTCGAACGCTGTGTCATAGCATTTAATGCAGACTTGAAATATAGTCCTTGTTTATATAGGTTTTACCTTCAACAGTCTTTGATGCAATAAATTGTTCAAGAAACTGGCCAAAATAATAATTGTAAGAATTTGCTATACAGGGTGTCCCCGAAAGCTTTGTACAGAATTCTACCACAAATTAATTCTCGATGTGAAAATATATCGATTTGCCTTCTCTTATTTTAGTACAAAAGTTGATAATTACGAAGATACAGGGCGTCCAAGTTAATAATTTATTTTCAATTTTCTTCACTAATTTATTGATAGAACGTGACAATGTTATAAAACTTAGGGTACAGGGTTTTTCTGGATGAAAAAATCAAATAAGTGCAAACTTTTATGTATGGTATAGCGGACGCCACATACAGCGTATAGGTAGAGCATTTGCAACCATCCTAAAAATTTTTTTGCCATTCACTGTACATGATTTGGGAATGGCAATATTTGTTCATCTAGGTGTTGCGATTAAAAAGGGTATAAGGACGGTTTAACTCAACTTATCTTAGTTCAAAATTGCTTTGTTGAGTCACAATCAAAAAAACTACAATACAACCGCAAAACAAGCAATAAAACAAAATAAAATATGTGAATTTTATTAATTTTACAAAAACACTTAAGTGAATGTTCAAAATAACCACCGTTTTCATGTATACAGACATTAATACGACGAATAAAATTAAACAGTACTTTTTGCATCATTTCTGCATCTTGCTCTAAAATGTTCACTGAATTTTGAATGCGTCTCCATAATTCCTCCTCTGTATTTATGGATGTGGAATAATCCATTGATTGTAGAGTACGCCATAAATAATCGATGGGCGTCAAATCTGGCGAACCAGGTGGCCAGTTTGTAGGAGCATCGATACCTCTACCCATCCATCTGTTTCAATATTGTTGATTTGTGCACGATAGGGCACCCCCATATTTCACTTTAAATGTCCACAACCACTTAAACCAACAATATCCAAGCAGATGGATTGGTAGAGGTATTGATGCTCCTATAAAACCCCTGTACATCAAGTTTTATAACGTAAGAAAGGTAAGAAAATTAAAAAAGAAATTATTAACTTTGACGCTTTGTATCTTCGTAATTATCAGTTTTTGTACTAAGGTAATAAGGCAAATTGGTCTATTTTCACCTCGAGAATTTGTGGTAGAATTATATACAGACCTTTCTGGGACAGCCTGTGTATTATTACAATGTACAGGACAACTTATTGTTTAATCTTAAGCTTCAAACTATCTAAAAATATAAAGGGAATTACGACAATAGCAAATCACAAACTATGAGAAACAAATCTTATGTCGAATTAACACAACTGCAATGACAAATACGTATGTGTATTTGTCATTGCATTTAATATACGTTTTAAATTATAATAAATTTAAAAAACTTGAAATGTTATTAAAATTGGTACTGCCAATTAAATATTTTTCACATACCAAGATAATTTGGTCAATTTGTTTGTCATTTCATTGGTTCAAAAATTTGAAAATGTAAAAATCTTTTATTATGTTCTATTTAAAACTTCCATGTGACTCGGTGTGATATAAGTTTTTGAAAAAACATCAAGACAAGTTTTTGGGGGCGTAGTTTTTCCGGAGGTTTTACTGTTTTTTTTAACTCAGTTTGTACAAAGTTATTGAAGGCAGTTCTCGTTAGAACAACACTGTATTACAATGTATGCTAAATCGGACAATTTGAGTAGGAGTTTTTTAAAAGTGTATGTCAAAATAAATATTTTTAATTCAAGGTTGAAAAAATGTAGCACAACGTATGTCTAAATGTAGAACAAACTTGCTTCTAAACTTCTATTAATATTTACAAAGTGGGAAGTACCTGCGAAAGTGTGCAACAATGACACGAGTAAATTGGCAAAAAAAACTCACTTAAAAACCCATTTAAAAAGCAAATCAAATAATGAATAACTTGATTTTTTTTATATGCAGCTTTTAGTTTTATAATAAAGTTTCTAGAATAATTTTTAAAATTTCCGAGAAATTTTTAAAAATTATTAAGGAGCATATTTCATCTTTCAAAAAATTTAGTAATTCAGTTGTAGGTGACAAATATTTACCTAAGTATAGCAAAAATAATTGATGTAAAATTTGTCGCATTTTAGGCTAACAAATAAAGGAATTTTTATTGTAGGTATATCTTTTTGAATTAATTTACCTACTTTGATTTAATTGGATATTAATTGAAACAAAAGGATAAGACAAGTCGAAGTTTACATCCGTGACATTTGAAAGAAGTACCTATACGTTTTTGACGTTTCATACTTTTGTTGATACTTTCAAAACAAATGTTTAATTATTTTAAAAAATGAATTCATTATTTTTTTTGTTAAACTGGAAGGTTGACTTTTAAGGAATAAGCGAATACCTACAAAAAAATTGTTCGAAATTTAATTCTTCACAGTTTTTCAATTCTTGGGGTGGAAGGCCAATGGAATACAACAACCAAATTGAACCTAAGTCTAATAGGCTATTGATTATATCCAAAAAAACAGGGTTGAAAGGAACTATGACGTTCAAGTAATTTTATTGCATGAATGAAAAACCGCGGAGTGCTATTAAATTAGAGGGTTGAAATTGAAAATGGGGTGAAAATGCACTATTGCAGTTTTTTAAATATAGCACGAAAATGAAACAAAATTTCGGTATTGTTCATAGGAAAAATTTTGTAGAGAATTTAATTTTCCATCGATGGGAAATGGCTTATTTAAAAAAATTAAAAGAAAAATTTTATGCAAAAAATCGTTGATAAACAATTTTAAAAAAAGCAAAAAATACGATTTTTTGATTTTTTTTTTTACTTTTTTGATTCTAAGTTGCGGAAATTTTTATTTATTATTTACAATTAGAACTTTTGAAATAATTTTTTATTAAGTAAAGGAATAACTCAGTCAACATCAGTCCAAAAACATCTATCTCATCTAGTTTTTTTGTACACCAATTATCTTTACCTACTTCTACTAAAAAAATTTTAAGTCAAAAAAGTAAAAAAAAAAATATTTTTTGCTTTTTTTTAAATTATTTATTAACGATTTTTTGCATAAAATTTTTCATGTAAATTTTTTTGAATAAGCCATTTCGGGGAAATTCAATTCTCTACAAAATTTTTCCTATGAACTATACCGAAATTTTGCTTCGTTTTCGTGCAACAATTAAAAAACTGCAAAAGTGCATTTTCACCCCTATCTTTAATTTCAACCCTCTAATTTAATAGCACCCCCTGTTTTTTTCATTTTTAATGACCCTTCGAACAAGTGAACATCTTATTTCCTCCTTTTTTTTGCAAAAAATTTGAATTAAAACGTACAAGGGTAAACGCGACGAAAATCGAAAAATTGGCTAATTGGCCATATATCCAATTTTCATGCAAAAATACTTTACAACCTCTTATTTTGAAGGAAATTTTAACTGCTTTTTTTATGAAGCAATGCCTATACCTATCTTTGCTCAAAAAAAAACTAGAGGCAAAAAAGTAAAAAAATTAAAAAATCAAATTTTTGCATAAAATTTTCCTTCTAAATGTTGTAAATGAGCCATTTCGGTGGGAAATTCAATTTTCTAAATAATTTTTCCTTTGAATTATAGCGAAATTTTGCTTCGTTTTCGAGCAACAATTAAAAAACTGAATGGGGTGCATTTTCACCCCTATCTCCAATTTCTACCCTCTAATTTAATAGCACTCCTCGGTTTTTTCATCTAAAATGACCATTTGAACGATTCATGTAATAAAATATCTTTAACGTCATAGTTCTTTTTAAAATCCTATAATCAATAGCCTAAAGTTATAGTACCGGTCTAAAATGCATCTTTTAGATACTAAAAGAAAAATTGTTGGGAATGTTAAATGACATACCAGGTCCGTATGATGATCCACAATTTTCTTTTCATTGCGATTTACTTCCTTGTTTTTTTTAAGATATTACGATGGAACAAATGATAATCGGAATATGTAGTAAGAAAGTCAATTTAATAATATATGTATAGTTGATTTCTTCAACTTCCGGTTGTCCAGAAATCAATTTTATCAGTAAGTAATTTTGACTAACCTCGTATATTTACAACTGCGTCGGATAAAATTTTTAATTAGTAATTTAACGATATATAATATGTCATACTTGTCATTTTATAAGTGAAATAATTGAAAAAACAAAAATATTTATACATAATTAAATTAAAAATAAAACTACTCGAAATTCTGACCTGCTTCCTGGCGGTGCCTCCCCGTATCTCTGCCACTGGTTGTATAAGGGTCCAATATTATTTACAATAATTTTAATTAAAATATTTTTAATATTTTATGTTGAGGATGTTTATAATAAATTATTTTTCTGAGGACCTTTGACATCCTGTATTATAAAAATGGCTGAGATTTCGAAAAAAAATTTGTAAAACAAGATAGCATTATTCTTTGTTGAACTGTTCGCTTTCGAAGTCTGATAGATTAATACTGAGACTCCCTGTATATTGCCGGATTGGCATTTAAAAGTAATATTCGATATCACTAAAATATACGAGGTAAGTTAAAAATTAGTAATTTCTTCTCAAACAAACAAATTAGTGACCTTCATTAGAAAGATTATATTATAAAAATATTTTTTTCTAAAAAAATTGTTTTTTATTCATACCTTTTAAAATTGATGTTTTGCTGCTTTTTCGATTACATATTCTTATGCCTCAGGAGCTTTTACATACGTCTACACTTTGTCCCATTCAAATATCTTAACAGCAAAAGAGTAAATTGTAACGAAAGGAGAATTATAGATCAAACTATATGTATATATTTTATTTGAAGATAAAGCAAAATTTTGGAATTTCAGTTATAAGGATGTCCCAAAATTCACGCAAAATAATTTGATAGAAGACACAGGTTTTTATTACAAAATTAAAATTTTTATATTGTTTCATACAATATATTGTTAGGTCCAGGGCTTTGCTAGCACATACGCACTCTTTTATTGAAATTTCGCATGGCCGTTTTGCATAAATGCGGCTGAATTTCGTCCTTCAATGCGTGGGCGGTCGTGGGCTCATTAGCATTAACCATATACTTCAAAATTTTGAATTCCAAGAAAAAAGTCCAATGGCGTTAAATCACACGATCTGGGTGGCCAATTTTGATCACCAAAACGGAATATTACACGACCAGGAAATGACTCATGCAGTAATTGAATTGTTTCTCGAGCTGTATGGCATGTGGCAAGATCTTGTTGAAACCACATGTCGAACTATATCCATATCATGCAATTTAGGCACAAAAAACGGGATTATCATATCGTTTTAGCGAGTACCATTAACTGTTATTGCCTGATTGCCGCATATTCTAAGAAGAATGGTTCGATAATGCCTCCAGCCTCGATTAACGAAGCCATCAAGATGAAAATGAACCTCATCGCTGAAGATGATTTTATTTGAAAAATCAGCATCCACTTGCTCCATAATACGCTCATCGATCTCTTCGCTCTGAGTGGCCAGTAGGCTTCAGTTCTTGAGTCAATCGAACTTTGTAAGCATAAAGATTCAGATCTTTCGTGAGAATACAAAATGTCCAGTTCTTGACCACGGTGTCGAATTGATGTACCTGGACTTTCGATAACACTCTCACGAATGGCTTCGATGTTTTGTGTTGAAAGACTTGTTGAAGGACGGCCAGAGTGTTTAAGTCTCCCCGAATATTTCTATTAATCTCTTCACAATTGATGAAGTTAAATCATTATTCCGACCATATTTTGTACGAAAATTGCCAACTGTAACCGTTAAATCTTATTTTAAAAATATTGCTCAACTATGAAAATACGTCGTTCTTGCTTGTAGCGCTTCATTTTTAACAACTCTGAACTGTTAGCTGTCACGCTGTCTTTTTCTTTCGTCGGCAAAATTCAAATCTTGCGCGAATTATGGGACACCCATCACCCTTAAATGTAAAAGTGCAATAGCTAAGAATTGAATAATATGTGATGACTAACCGTGATGTTTAAAAAATTTCGGGTTGGGAAGGGTACCAGGATGGGGCGCCATTATGTAGATGGGCTGCGGCCCCGGACTCATCTGGTGCATGGACTGTTTCTGTTTCACCATGGTACCCGACACGCTGCTGGCCTTCCCGTTCATCAGGGGGTGGTACAGGTCCTCCCTAGAACCACCCAACGACTTGCCTTTGCTCTTCTTCTTCTTCTCTTTCATCGGCGGCGGAGGAACCGCCACCGGTTGAGCTATCTGCCGGGGCCTGGACGGCCTGGATATGGTGCTGGTGGAGTAGACGTCGTAGATGCCGTCCAGGTTGTCTTGGGAGCCGGCCCACACCTTGTGGTTCTCGTCGCCGTTGTAGATGCTGATGTCGTCTTTAGCGTTCGCTATCGTGTTCAGCGTCATCGTTGAGCCCGAGTGCGATCTGCTCATCTTCCATTCTTCGATCTGGTGTGGAAAACAAAAGAAATTTTGTAACTATGCAGTAAACGTTTGAAAAATGTGTGTATCAATATATACTAGGTGTTTTCAAAATTAGAAGCCAAAATGTAAATCTCCATGTACATTTATTTAACAGGTAAATTTTACGTGACTTGTAATCTGTCAAATTTCTTTTATATACGATCAGATTACTAATAAACGCGTTTTTCTATTCTATACTCTCCCCTCCGCTAATTATGTGCAGGATTACCTTATCTTTGCTAGTCAGCCTTTCCGAGGCGAGGGTCCCGTATATGCTCCCTGCGGTATCCACTTGCTTCGCGTAGGACGAATCGGCGTAAGCGTGAAAACAGCATCTAACCAGGGCGTTCGCCGCGACTTCCCTTTTGCAGATGAAAGCGTGACATTCCAGTACTTTTATCCCCGTGGTCCTCCTCAAAATGGCAGCGAACAGTGGCGGGTGGGTGGGGTTCGGCGCCCGAGCGAATGGCGAGTCCAGGGGGAGGAAGCGCGGACTTGGACTGTGGAGCGTATTCTTTTCTGGGACTAGAACATATCTGAAAAAAAATGTTTGTTTCGTGAATGAAAAATTGATTAAACTCGGGAAAAGCTTGATGTTAAAAAATACACATAATGTCAAAAGATTTGGATTCCCCAGTATTTCTAAATATATTCAGTTGCTAGAAAAAACACATTTTATTTTAAAAAATACATATTTTCGTGAATCTATTTTTTTTTATTGGAATGTTTCAGAAAAACTAGGAAATGGAGAATAACGTCATTCGTTGAAAAAAATTGTTACTAAAATATGTATCAAAAAAGTTAAAATTACAATTAATAAATCAAAATTGATAAGTAGGTAGTGCCACCGAAATATTTCGATTATTATTAAAAAACATATTTCTAATTGATGGGATAAAGTTCGACAGAGTTGTCAAAATACAGGGTCTTTGTGTGAAAATGCCATAACCTTTTTTAATAAAAAAATGGTGCGCCACTGACTTTTACCCGTTTTGATATTTTTTTAGAATTCCGCTATCAATTCTGAATGAAATTGTTTACGCCAACTTTATTTATAGTATGCGCCGTTTTTGAGAAAAAATATAAAACATATTTTATTGCAGGTTGTGTATTTTGCATTTTTAATTTCTATTGATACATTATCTAGTAGGTTACTGTCAATATATCTAAATAAAATACAACCATCAAATTTCGAGTTAAAACTCTGAAATAATTAATAAAAATAAATAAAAAATTAAAATTTAAACACTGTATCTCGGAAATTAAGCATATTTCGACCTACGTTTATATGAACTTTTTTTCACAAAATAACTTCGGCAACCACCCCCTAAAATATTTCGCACTTATTTACAAACACCCTGTATAGCTTGTTGATGTGACATCGACTTTATATTTTAAATTTAAATTCACATTTTCTTTTAAGTTGTAGTATATAAACTTATACTGTCTTTTAACAATGTGACACCACGAATATTCACTCAGTAAGGCAATATTATTAAAAACAATAAATAGAAAATAATGAAAAATAATTGGAATTTAAATATTTTTATTTCATTTCATTTTTCACATGATAAATTTGCGTTATTTTCACAAAAGGAAAAAAACATTGTGTATAAATAGATTATATGCAGTGTGGCTGTGGACCATTCTGATGATGCATGTATTGATATCTGGGAAACTATAAGAGACCGGAAAATGGTTAGATGGGACAGTTCTGTTACTGTTACCAACTTAATGACTTTTGCAGACCTGTCCTAGCTCTTCTTTTTGAGTTATTTTGAAAAAAAAGTACCTAAATGTGGCGTTTTAGAAAATCGTTTATAACTTTTTTAATTAGAAGAATTTTAAAAATTTGAAAATATTATTTCACAGAAAGTTTTTTCAAGCAATTTCACTGTATATTCAGAATTTCATCGGGACGTTTCGGTTGCGAGAAACCATGATCAACTTTCTTTTTTCTTATGGGCGCCATATTGAATCTTAAGCTGGGCAGATATTAATTGGTTTCAAACTGCGTGTCATTTTGAACTATTGTTAATCATAGAGTTAATTGTTAACAAGAGTGACACTTGTTTTAAAATGGTCAAATTGGTTTTGAAATACTTAAATGAAAAAAAATGTGATATGCTATAGTGATATACTAAAAATAATAAAAATGCAACTATATTTTTAAACAATTGTATTGGAAATTATTCCGAAAGACAACCACCAAATAAGGGGTCTTTCTAAACTTATGAGAAATTTGAGATGGTTTGGAAGTTTTGAAGAACCACATGCAAAGAACTATGCAAAAGACAATAACACAACCGGGACAATCAAATAATACATTATTTCAACAACAATCCAATATCGCCAACAAGAGTGTGTAATAGAGAAATAAACCTTCTTAAGACAACAATTAGCAGGGTTTTGAAGAAAAATAAATATCACCCATACAAGCCGACTATTGCGCAGGGGCTTCAGGAAAACGATTTTATTCGAAGGCTTGAAATTTGTAATTAGTAAGTTAATAAATGCCAAGATGATAACTTCAGCACCACCGTTATATGGACCGATGAAGTGCAGTTCTCTATTTGTGGAGTATTTAATAAACACAACTACCAGCATTGGGCTACAGAAAATCCTGAATTGCGGGTTTAACGAAGATTACAGACACAATACAGTACCAATACAGTATCAATGTTTAGTGTGGCATTTATAGTAAACAAATATCTTTCTTGTTTGAATTATTTCACTACAACAGAACTGTCTAAAACTTTCACCATCTTACCATTTTCCTATCTCTTATAGTTTCCAGTTTCTAAAATACCACGTACCCACTTAATCCCCATTTTTGTGAAAAATGAGAGTATCAAAATTCTCGTTTATATTTAAACTGCTGATACCGATAAATTTTGATTCTATTATTGGTGCTTCTTATGTCACTATTCACTATTCACTATTCTCTATTTTTTATTTTTATAGGTTTTTATTTTTTTAATGTATTCTAAATTTAGTGGAATTTAGTTGAAGTTATCCAGATACAAAAGTGTTACTGTTATTCAGAAAAAAGTGTGCTTAAATAATTTAATTCTGTTTCAGCCTCCAATTTTCTTTTTCTCCATACATTTTCGAATAAACAATACAATGGAGATAAGACAGTTATTTTACTCACCGGTTACATTCAGAAGAAATGTATCTCTAACAGTAATTAAGATATTTTGAAGTTGATACTCTCATTAGTTAAACGATGTTTGTAAGTTAAAATTGATATTTTATCTCTGTATATTGAAAGTTAATTTCTACATTTTGACTGATCGATTTTGAGTTAAATACACCGTCCCAGATGTCGTGAGAAAATTTCTTGAGAATAACATTCGCGAAACAGGCTGAGTCTTATAATTATGGTAATTTTTTCTGTTAAAAAAAGTCTCATGGTCTTTAAATAAGAGTATAATTTTATTTTTATGCATATATTACATGATAAGTACAAGCTTTTGCAATGTAAACTACACACGTGCATATTTATTACATCTCGATTTAACACTTTACAATTTAACCCTGATGATGATAAGGAGAGTTAGAGCTGTACAGACACTTTCTTACTTTAATTTATCGTAAAGAGTGATTAGTATCTTACAATATTTTAGATATAAATTAGTTTTAGTATGCCATGTAAAAGCCTTCTGAAAAAATTCAGGTTGAGAAAACCATGAAGCTCCACTTCACATTTATAGTCCAGGAAAATTAGACAAAAATAGGGCCGAACCTCGGAATTGCATAAAGAGGGTTCGATTTTGATGGGACAAAGTGCGTTCTTTTCGTAATTGCATGTACATCAAAGTCTACAACGTCTCATGCGGCGCTAATTTGTTTATTTATAAATAATCAATTATTATTAACAAATAATCGTATTTCGGATATTACGTGGGGTGGAAACGGCCAATCTTGATGCGGTAAAGCTCATTCTTCTTATTAGTTGTAATTTAACTGTAAAGGACCCCACCGATCTTCATTTGTTTATCGGTTTTTATTTAATTGTTATAAACAAATTAGACGTGATATTTGCGGTCGGGAGTAGGACTAGCCGATTTGGACGGGATGAACGTGGTTTTATATAGAAAGTACAAGACCCTAATGCAGGAAGTGAATTCTCAAAAAGCTGAAGACCATATAGAACATGAATCATTATGAATAAATGTTATCCACTTCTCTTTGATTAAAAATTATCCATTCTAAGTCTTAGTTACAGATTGCACGTGTAATTTTTTTATAATGATTAATTAGTAAAAAGAAACAAATGAAGATCATTCGGACCTTAACGGTTTTGGAATATCCCGGATGATGATCAAAGTGACTTATTCCATAAAAATCAGACTTTTCTCGTCCAGCTCACAGATAACAGCCCGAATTTGTATATACTAATTCACTGAAGATCAATGAACAAATGAAAATCAGTCTGCCCTTAGTGGCCCTTAGTGGTTCTGGATCACCTTGTAATCCAAGTACGAGAAGAGCGTCGATTACCGCGTGAAAATCCCCCTCTCCCAGTTCGATTGCCTAATTTGCTCTTAATGATCGAATAAAAATCAATAAACAAATGACGATCGGTGGGAGTCTCCCAAAGTTAAGGTACAACTAATCAGAAGAAGAATGGGCTCTACCGCATCAAAATTAGCCTTTTTCAACCCACGTAATATCCGAAATACGCTAATTTGTTAATAATAATTGATTATTAATAAATAAACAAATTAGCGCCGCATAAGACGTTGTAGACTTTGACCTATATGTAATTACGAAGAAAACGCACTTTGTCTCATCAAAATCGAACCTTCTTTATCCAATTCCGAGGTGAAATGCTAATTTTCCTGGACTATTAGGGATTTCTTTCGGACTGAAGATCTTGGTACACGCCCTACCATTTAATATTGATCAGAACCTATTTATCGACAACGCCACAAACACAATTCGTGAGCAATGCGACAATTGCCATTTCACATGATTTTAAGCAAACGATAATGGGTGGGAGTCGTTGGAAGGCGAATGTATTTTTAATTTACCAATTTCCCTACATATGAATCAAATGAATCACCTTGTCCAAGGTGAAAATATTTCAAAACTAGTATGCATTGGGAAATTTGAAAATGTGCATAAAGGGAAAGTGGTGTGCTGCTGCATCAGACTGCTCCTGTGAGAAACCAAGTCGTACAAACACATGGTAATTATGTAATCCGCATTATGATTATCTGATGTAATTACATCGAGCAGCAGTACATTACACTATACGCAACGATGGCTTCGGATTTGATTATTTACTATAAAAGGCCAGGAGAACAGAAGATATGCAATTTAAAGACATACGTTAACTTGGTTCGTTATTAAGATTTACAAACAAGTCGTTCTTACTGACGCAGTCCTTGTTTAAAACATTTTCTTACATTTTTGCGACTTTTTGGGCACAACGTTTTATTCTATGTTGTTTTATCATTCTAGCAAAAGTGTAAAGCTGGATATAAACATATCAGATACGTTCAAATTCATCCTAGTTTTTTCTCTA